ATTTAATGATACTTTGTACCGCAGTGTGTTGTTCCTCCCTAAATACACATCTGCCAATGAAGACAGACAAGCTCAAACTTACCACTATCTGATTTCTCTCTCCTTGGTGAATGTGCTTCATAGTATTAAAAGGCTATTGTGCAGCAAATGGAGTGAATTAATTACACATTCACATGGACATTTGGGATGAACCTGAATTAGTATTTCATATGAGGAGAGGAGAGGAGAGGAGAGGTGAGGTGAGGAGACAAGGAGGGAAATTGACCATATTCACACAGCTGCCATTTCCCTCCAGCACACCCGAGGTGGATAGCTCACATGATGTTGTACTGTGCTGTGAGTAAATGAAAATGGTAATGATCTAACTGCTCTTGTCTTATTTCAACAACAAAAACTATATAACCATTTGGCTAAGGTCTTTTATGTTAACTGTTGTTTGTTCGTAGCTGAAAGAGTCATTTTTTTAAACATGACAGATCATATTGGTCGATTTCCCCCTAGATTTACTGTTCGTAGTTCGTAGTTCGTAGGCGGTGATGACCAATTTAGAACAGGCGACATGTTAAGTCAGATACATCTTACAACAAAATTAAGTAATAATTACGACAGATTATTACGACTAAGAACCTTAAACACTGCAGCACAACAATAACAGCACATGACCTTAACATCAGACGTAAATGGCTGCTTTGTGCATTTGGACAAAAGAGTCCAAACTGTAAAACACAGGAGTTTATATCACAAAATATCAGTGGAGCATTGCATTGCCACATGAAGTCACAACAGTGATACAGAAAATGGATGAAAATGTAATTTTCACTTTCATCATTTAGTTTTGTTTGTCATTCTCCTTTGGATGCTCTGACGCTTGCTTCCTCTCCTCTGTGACACTGGAGAGATTTCAGGTCCGCCTGTTGATGATCGATAACGCACACTGTGACATGGCCCTCAAAGTCAAGTCATTAAATGCCACCATCTAAGTCCAATCAGATAGGCTTTTGCTGCCTCATTCATTCGCACTCAGCTGAGTCACAATCCTCTGTACGGCATGAGTTTCACGTCATGTTCTTTATTGCCGCGTCTTTACGGCGAGTGTGAGGTTTTCCCCCTGCTGCCAGACTAACCTCACACCTCCGCTTTGTCCACAATCAGCAATTTTATTGTAAGAGCTGCACGCCAGCTGCAGTGATAGCTCTGACACGTTGGGTAAAGCGCTGTGACACAGGGTCAGTTCTGCAGGCCACTCTCCATCTGCAGATGTCAGGAAGCAGAGTCACTCATGCAGGTGAGACTGTGTTGTTGTGTAATTCCATCAGAGGAGCCGAACAGCTGCCCCTGAGAGGGAGACTTTTCCTTACATGGATTTCTGAATGATTCTAAAATGTTGACATGTTTTGTTTATTTATGTTTATGTTATATGGCAGAAGGCATAAGTCTGGGTGATGGCATCAGTCTGAAGCACACATTTCTTTTTCTTGACTGTGACTGTCTTCACTTTGTGTAGCAAAGTGAGATCGCTGCATACAATCGTCCGTTCTACAGAAACAGTATGTTTTGTGACTCTTGCATAGTAGCATTAAATCAACACATAATCAGGAAGTGAGTTTCCTTTTTTCCTTCTTCCTTCACCCCTGATGCTGGTACAGGGTTTTGGGCTACTGTGAGCTAGATGCTGTCATCAGTATACACAAAATGCTAACACTATCAAAACATGTATGGAGATGTTTAATAGTCAGTTTTTTTTTTAAGGTGACCTTTAGCAGCATTCACACCCCAGTTACAAGGGACTTTTAGAGGTTTACACTGCAGAGACCAAGGTTTTTAATGAACTTTTACATAGAACAGGGACTTTTATTGCTAAAACATTTCTGACTGTTGGAATAGAGTTTCTGGGTTTTTGGTTATTGCTTTTTAATTCAAATCATGGTAACTCATTTGCATAATCCTAAAAAAGAATTGGCTGCAGAAACCTTGAGGTGTTTTGCATTGTGAATTTGATTTGGACAAGACCAGTGTTATTGGGTCATAGGGTAAGGGTCTTCCATCCATATTTGGTGACAATATTGGACTTAAAGCCTATCCATCATTTTAGGAAATTGCACCAGGATCTGGCTGAGAATGTACACATTTACTGAACACAAGGCATTGCTTTGCCTAAAATAAACAAGAACTGTAAATAGCTGAAGTGCAAACCTGGCAGAGAAACGCAGGGGAAGATGCCAACTGTCTGCTGATGTCTGCAGGTCACAGAGTCCAGCCAGGAATGGATAGGACAAGATATCCACCCAAATAAGAATGATGAAGATTTGTGAAGTTTACATTCACTCGTTACTTTGTCCAAAACACATTTGAGAGAATCACATCAACTGTAATCACTTTATAAAAGGGTTTGTCAACATGTTCTTATGTCATGTTGTAAATCACAGTGCGTTGTCTCACAAGTTTTCTGTTGTATACAGACGGGTAATGCTTGTTCTCCTCCAATCTTGAAATATGTTTAATGTCTATTGCCGTTGGTTTAGGCACAGATATAATAACAGTTATAGTGTAAGTATCATGGTGGTTTAAATAATAACCAAATTAGAGATCCCTGAAAGAGATCTCCAGGAAGGTTTTCCTGTGATGTTTATCTCACCCATTTGCCCTTACCACCGACCGCAGGCAGACTTTGTCTTTCTTCCATGACCCTTCCCTGAGAATCTACTATTTCTGCAGAGAGGTTTTTATTAAACTTAGTTAAAAGCCTGGTGTGTACCTTGCAGACGCTGAAGGTGGGACTAAGTGTGGTATATAATATGCTTTGTTTACAGCTTGAAATGTGAATCATTGTACTGCTGGATTTCATTACCTTGTACTACAGGACTCTCCCGGTGTAAACAAATGCTCATAGTGTGCAGTAGTTCCATTGTTTGCCAAATATATCCCTCTTTAGCAAACAGGGAGCCGTTCTGTCTGTTTCAGAAAACAATTTCCAATCGAGACATTTATCTGGTTGCTTTTGTGTACCCAGACCTTGTAACACCACTCGAGCAGGTGGGCCTCATTGTTTTGCTCCGGGCCCCTGACAGGACACTATGCACAATATTGTCGGAAACAGAAATGGCCTGGGATGCTCCAGCTGCGGGCTGGTCGCGCTACTTCAAAGCAGACCTGCCGTACACAGAGTCAGAAGGTGTCCCATAATAACAGCTGATAGTTTATGTGACATTCAGAAGAGTTTTTTGGATGGAGATGGACGATGACCCTCTTGCTCTGTGAAGACAGTCCATAGTACGGTATGTGTCGGCCTGCTGAGCTGTCACTCTGCCTCTCAGATCTGTTTCACACCACTTCATAGATGCAGGCTTGAGCTGTGCATTCTGTATAGCTTTTCATTTAAGCTGGGTCAAAGTACACACAGCCTGACAGCAAACTACAAACAGAAATCTTTTCTTGACATTTTCCTGTCTGTTCTGTTTACCTATCATCTATCCCGCCCCTCTTTCTGCAGCCAGGCTATGTCTGTTCCTCAGTGCTTACTCTGCATGGATTGTGATTATCATATCTCAACAATAGAAGTTGATTGTTTGTGTTGTTGCCGTGTTGAACCTTTACGTTCCATTGATCAGGCATTGATTAACTTCTAGGCGACATTTATCCCGCGGTTAGTGGGATAATTTCAGTTGACAGCTGAAGGGCGTGTGCTGGGGCTTCTTTTTGTGTTTGTTGACTCACTGGAAGAAAATCGGGTGAAACACTGTTTATTCATCGTCAAATGGTCATTGCGTATTTTATTGATGACCTTGATTTTTTAACTTTCAGTTTGTGGTGCTATTGAATCACATTAAGTTTTAATAAGAATTTTTTATTGTATTGTTTTCTACCAGAGTATACATGTTTCATTAATCTCATTGGATGCTACAGAGTTCAACAGCACCATCAACTACAGCTTTGCATCAGCATCCTGTAAACAGTTTTCTTATTAACTGAACATCATGACCTTCATAAAGTTGGGATTTGCTGCCGAATTAGACTGACTTCTGACTGTAGGTAAAACCTCAACTCTGTGACAGCTTGCTGAATATTAGAAAAAATAATGTGTTTTCCTGTGCTTTTTAAGTGGTGACAGGTAAAAGGCTATGCTGCGATTCTTGCTGGTTGTATAGACAAAGGTGTGTAAAGATATGCATGAACACACATGACCTGATCCCTTATGCCTTTAAACTTTTATTCAAATGTATCGTCTAGAGGTATTTTCAAGGTCTGTGGTTGACTTTGTCTTGTTTCCAAAGCTGTTTTTGTTCCAAGTTTTCGGTTTGTGTATTTAATGGATACAACTTGAACTATTGTATATCTTTGTCTCTGTCAAAAATATGAATGAATGTGAATATGATATGAATGAAAGTCATAAACAAGCAGTCTGATCTGCAATACTTATTTACCGTAGATCAAAATATCAATCCCATTAGTTGTTTCAGTCTTTACAAACTTGTCATAAATATTTAGGTTTATGCTTTAAAAGACCTGATAGTTTCATGAATCATCTGGACACTGTAATATATTGTAAACACAAAGCTTACTCTAACAGGAGTGCAAGGTGTTTAACTGTGGGGTTATTTTCAACTTTGCAGAATACACATTTGGTTGTGTCAGAGCTGCAGGACCTTGTACATTGGATTAACTTTGAATAAATGATATGATGCATGCGTAATGATAGAGCATGTTACGTGTTATGTCACAACAGTTAGGCTCACTTATTGTGCTTTGATAGTATTTTGACAACAATGGAGCTCAATGTTCCAGATGAATAATCTACATCAGGCTAAGACTAAAGAGTCAAAAATAAATTAGTTTTGCCCTTTTTTTTTTTTTTTTAGACAATATGAAAAACGTAGACTATCACAAGACTCACCCTTTGAGCAGGACACTACAATTAAACAGCCATAGAGTTGGAAATAAGGATGTTTTATCATCATATGCTTTGCATTAAAATTATCTCTGTTTGTCCCATTCTTTCTTAGTACAAACAAGTGGAGCAGTATATGTCCTTCCACAAGCTACCTGCTGACTTCCGACAGAAGATCCATGACTATTATGAGCACAGATACCAGGGCAAGATGTTTGATGAGGAGAGCATTCTAGGAGAACTCAGCGAGCCTCTCAGAGAGGTAAGACACACACAATATCATCATAAATGTGTCAATTTGTATCATATTTTATTGTAGGGATTATTAAATTAAAATAATGACAAATGTGTTAATTTGAGCTTCTATTTTGTTGTTTGTTCTTCACATATGCTTAAAGTAGACACTTTCTGGTGGTGTAGTAATTCATATGCAAATTTGACAGATTCAACACTAACACTGTCTTTTCTTAGGAAATTGTTTAACTTCAACTGTCGTAAGCTCGTCGCCTCCATGCCGCTGTTTGCCAATGCAGAGCCCAACTTTGTCACCGCCATGTTGACCAAGCTGCGTTTTGAGGTTTTCCAGCCGCATGATTACATCATAAGAGAGGGAACCATCGGGAAGAAAATGTACTTCATTCAGCACGGGGTCTGCAGTGTCATCACTAAGGGAACTCTTGCAATGAAACTTTCTGATGGCTCTTATTTTGGAGGTGTGATACAGTTGGCAGCTTACATTTGTTGCATTCTGCTGATGCTATGTAGAACTTCTTCATTTTAAGATGTGACACTCTTCCCTCCTTCTTTCAGAGATCTGTTTATTGACGAGAGGTCGGCGAACAGCCAGCGTGCGAGCAGAGACTTACTGTAGACTCTACTCACTGTCTGTTGACAACTTCAACGAGGTGCTGGAAGAGTATCCCATGATGAGACGAAACAAGACAAAAAAAAGAAAAAAATGTAAAAAAAATAATAATAATTAAACGCACTCTGAAATTAACCTCATGTACAGAAATAGAACTAATTCCCCTCTTCACTAATGTTTCCAGAACACAAGTGTTGAAATCTGAAATAAAATGAGCTACATTGTTCCCTCGAAATGACACAGGACTACAGTATGTAACAGTAGATGAGAGGACAGAGTGACACTTCCATTTTCCTCAGGGCTTGTTCTGCAGGAGGATGTACCTGGTGTGAAGGACATCACATGCTTTATCTACCTCATATTGTTCTCTTATTCCAATTTCGCTTGTTACCATTCATGAATTCTACTGTTTGTCCTCTCTGTAATGTCCTTCTCCATTTGCTCTGTGATAATCTCTCCATTTCTCTCTATCTTCAGGAAAAAAGAACTCCATCCTGATGCACAAGGTTCAGCATGATCTCAACTCTGGGGTGTTTAACAACCAGGAAAACGAGATGATCCAGGAGATCGTCAAGTACGACCGTGAGATGGTGAAGCTGGTGGACCTCCAGCGACCGCGGGCCATGTCTATGACCCCCTCCATCGGTGGTATCTTTGCTCCTCCCGGCCAGCCGCAGACGGGCTCTGCTATTGCTACTCTGCAGCAGGCAGTGGCGATGAGCTTCTGTCCTCAGATGGCGAGTCCTCTTGTGGGCCCAGGGACCCTGCAGTCTCCTCGAATGGTTAGAAGGTTCCAGGTGATGCAGAACTTGGCCAGTCCTGTCTCCATGTCTCCTCTTCAGTCTCACCCCCCTCAGGCATTTGGGGGGGTGTTTGGATCTGCGATCTCAAGCCCACCCGTCCAAAGCCCACTCGCTGCTTCAGGACGGACTTTCCAGTACATGGCGAGTGCAGGACCCTCTGGTTCCCAGTTGTCCCTTGTACAGCACCATGCACCCAGCCCCACACAGACCCAGCAGAGGCCAGCCTCACACAAGAGCACCCACTCCCTTCATACAGGCAGCCTGAGCCAGGATACCCGGGCGCTGTCTGCCTCCCAGCCTTCACTCCCCCAGGAGGGAACACCACAAGCTGCCTCTGCAGCTCCCAGCCCTCCACCATCCACCCGCACCTCTAACAACTCCATTGGCCCCCCACAGCCGTCTCATGCCAGCCTGCCGGGGCCGTCCGGGGTTGGGAGATCGGCAGGAGCTCCGCAGAGGGTTGCCTTTGCCTCCACGCCCCCTCCCGGTGAACCCTCTAGGGTGGGGGCAGTAGCAGCAGCTGCTGGATCAGGACCTCCAGACTCTGGAGTCCCCAAGAAAGATTCAATTGTCAGCCTTCCAGAGCTAGACTCTGCCAGATCCCGGCTGTCTTCCAACTTGTGACCCTGGTAGAGTTCAGGAAAGAGGCCTTTTTTGTAGGAGAATCTGTTTGTTTTAGGTCAGTCCAGCTGATCTGTCAGCCTGTTGAATGACCAATCAGCTACCGCCAGCGCCACACATCTTTGGACCTGGATGCACTGTGTGCTGAGTCGGCAGAAGAAAAAGAGCAACTCAAATCTTGAGACACTTTGGCTAGGAGGAGTCTATACAATTAAACTAGTATAACTTAAGGTGGAACTGGTCTAGTCTACTGTGCCAGCACCTTTAGTCTTAGTATCACCCCTTACACTCTGCTTCCAAACACCTACTGTATATCGCTGTCTTTACTGTAAAGATATGAAGAAGAGTACGATTAATGTAACTATTGCATACTGTGTAGAATCCATGCAATGCAATCTAGCTGGAGCTGGACTTAAAAAATGAAAATCAGGGACTTGAGGTCAAATGACAATGACATTTTAAGCGTTCAAAGTGTTTTTGAGTGTCATTTCCTTTCTGTATAAGCTGTCGTAGCAAAAGAACACATTGCTCTTCATATTGTTTCAAATAGTAGTGAAATAGTGTTTTAGACCGCTGGTCGATCTTACATCGATGTGTAAATAGTTGATGAAAAAGTCAGAGGGATATTATATTCATTGTATCTACCCAAACCAAAGTTGAGCTCGAACACAAAGTCTGGTTGTGTCTGTATCAACTAAAAAAGAAACATAGAAGAAAATGCCATTTATTTAACTGCCTTGATTCAACGTTAGAAGCCATATATTTGGTTTGGGTGTTTGTGTATACGTGGGCGTAAGTTTGTGTGCGTGAGTTTGTTGTCTGTATCAACTAAAAAAGAAACATAGAAGAAAATGCCATTTATTTAACTGCCTTGATTCAACGTTAGAAGCCATATATTTGGTTTGTGTGTTTGTGTATACGTGGGCGTAAGTTTGTGTGCGTGAGTTTGTTGGTTACCTTTTGGTTCTATTTTCAGAGAATGGACTCACACACTCTCTGCACTGCTTTGTCAAGCGTAATCGGTTTGACATGCTGACGTCTGCTCTGACCTGTTTTTCATGAAACACCTCGGAGGCGGTCAGATGTTCAGCCGGTGTTCTGATTGTAACTCTGAAGGCAAAAGGTGGTTAAATAATCTGAGCTTTATCGAAAGGAAACATTTGTGAACAACCCATACTGTATACTTGCTTGTTTTTTGTCTAGGTTTATTGATTAACACACGCAATATGATTCTGCAATACTCTACCCCGCCTATATATAAATATATATGAATATAAATATCTATACATATGCTGTACAGGAAAGTGAACTTGTTTTTTTTTCTCCTTTTGTTTTATTCTCAATGTGAAACCTTAAAGAATCCAGCAGCTATTGTGGCTTCACTTGAGGTATTGTAATCCAGTGACCATGTTGTTACCTTAACCAAAAATGTTGGAGGGAATGAGAGTTTTTTTTTCTCCTTTTGTTTTATTCTCAATGTGAAACCTTAAAGAATCCAGCAGCTATTGTGGCTTCACTTGAGGTATTGTAATCCAGTGACCATGTTGTTACCTTAACCAAAAATGTTGGAGGGAATGAGAGGCTGTGTCATTTTCGTAGAAAACAGAAGCAAACAGGTTCAAAGTCACAGGAGGAACCAACGCTTTGAAATTAGCAAGTCAGATCCTCAAAAATGTCACTTTAAAGCCCATTCAAATTGTAAGCTGAATGGGGGTTTGGGGAAGGGCGGCATGGGGTAAAAATGCCTCACTTTAAAAACTCTTTGCTCCATATCAAAGTCTCTGTGTGCTCAGATCACCTCAAACCCCCCATGAATGTCTCAACATTTCGATCCTATTGTTCAAATTTTTAGATATGGTTGAGGCTGTGGTTCTATTTGTTCAAAATCAATGATCCTGCTGAACCTTAAAGCCTTCTCTTGCTGAATGTATGCCATACGAGAAGGAAGACAGCTAATCAGTTTAAACTGCCATGTAAATAAAGGGATGGAGGTTTAAAGAGGCTTTTATGATGCAAGGGGGTTGTGGCCGTTGCTTTATGTCTTGCTGAGTGTCTGCGATCTTTTTAAGTTCTATGATGCTTCTCTGGGTTGAAAGTTGCTGTATTTTACTTGTATGCTACCCCACTCCTTTCCTTACACCACCCCTTACACATGAGAGGATACTTTTTTTCTATTAATTTTTTTAATTCTCGGCGTGAACAAGAGCAAGTCGTAACCGCTTTGAACTTTAAAGCGCGCACTGAGGACATTCAATTAAGCACCTTCTGTTGCACTTCGACCTTGTAATCAAAATGAAAATCGATGCTCCATTCTGCTCATACGGCTATAGTACTTCTCCTGGAGCTGTTATCTGGTTAAAAAGTAAGGACAAAAAGTGAATCCAATCGGGGTAGAAAATAGGCAGCTGATTCAATGTGTTGAATAAACACCGCGTCCAACTTTGTTGGCTCTGAGAAATCAATCCAGAGCTAAACTGTAAAATCGATGCGATGGACATTTCACTCAGGTTTGCTACCTTTCCAGAGAGATGTATTGAGTGCTGCAGCGTGGCTTGCCATTGATTTATGTACACTTGTCCATCCTCCCATAATCAACCTGTTGATTTAACCATGCTGAAAGACTCCCCTTGCATTTTGATTGGCTGAAAAAAAAGGAGCATCTTAGATTGTTTAAGCAAAACTGGCTGACACTTGCTTTGATTAAATAGATCTTTTCGAAACAAGGTATAGGTGATTGTTTTTATCCAAGGGCTTCATTATATGGCTTGTAAACCCTGGTTCATTGTTTCTGTAGAGCTGCCACATTTTCACTTACATTTTTTTCCTGATCAGTCACATGCACTAAATCTTGTTCTTTGTCACAATTCTACAACCTGTTTCATCAGCATCACTTTGTATTGTTTTTTTATTTCCTATGGGAAAGGTACATGCCAAAATGCCAATGCGATTGTGAATGAACCAAGTCCATTTGAGTCAATAGCTGTTGTGTGCTTCGATACTGTTTCAGTGCAATCAGTTAGTCCTCTTCCCTGTTCCTTTGTGCTAATACCAGAGTTTGCCCTATTAAGCTGCTAACAGGACTGTGCTGATATTATTTGAATGAGTCCACAGTCAGTGAGAGCGAGATGGACAGAGAGTTAAAGAGCTACCGGAACGTTTCAGGCAATATCAGGCACCGTCTCTATTTCATTGCATCCATCCAGTAAGATAAAGTGTAACTCACTCCAACTCAAAGGATTGCATCCCAGACTTTGATCAGTACCACTCTGTTCAAACCCTCCGCCATGAACCTGATACAGCGCTAACATCACACACACTTCTGTAAGATATCCGTTTTGTGTCCGTATCACAAGTGTGTTCTGGCTTCCAGCCGCTGTCGACGTGTGTGTGACACAGCGCTGTGTTCGCCCAATGACAGGGGGTTCAAAGTGTGATTGTTTAATGGTTCTTCTTCTGGACCTTGCTGTGAAGTGGGATTGAAATCCCTCATACTTGTTTGACACTGACTGACAATTATTGAGAGTTTCTACGTTTCAAACCTCTCGTTCTTTCTGTACCAGATATTAAAGGGTACTGGATGCCTTGGTGTTGATATGTTAGCAAATCAGGGTATTATTTTTGTTTGTAAAAGTGTCTTTGATTTATCAGTATATTTTGTTTGGTTCTTGTTTTTGCAATGTGCCCCATGCACATGGACTGTATATACCTTGTGCCTAGTATATCTAGTTTCCACATAGTCTATTTTTGTGGTATGTATGTGCCTGTAAAAATGCAAATATGTGTTTTTATTTTCAACTTGCAATATATGTAAAAAAAAAAAAAAAAATTAGATGATGACTAGTATTTCTGAATTAAAATGACAATGTCAGTATATATAATTTTCCCTGATTTGGGAAACACAAAATTGCACATTTTTGTTGGTTTGAGCCTTCCAACACCATGCGCGCTGTACTCTGTACTTTCATGTTCTGTACATATGGTATAAACAGAGATGTGGGGCACATTGTCGTGTTTGTCCACAACCTGCTGTATTAAAAACATTTTCTACAGTTAGAGGGTGAGCTCTGACAGGCTTCTGGTGGATATCGGCAGTCTAGACGTTAGCTTAGATGACCTGCTTGCTACACAGAAACAAAAGTGACAAACAAAACGGTGGAGACGCCTGCACAATATAAAAACAAAAAAACACACAACATATACTGTACATGCTGGAAAATCTTTCTAAAAATAGTCTTGATGCACAGGTCTTTAAGCACTGACGCTGGTTGCACACTAATTTGGTGTTTGCCATTTAAAAAAAAAAAAAAAATCTCTCCAAGGCTGAACAAGCCTCAGCAGTCACGATCTCAAACCAGAGTTGAGTTCCCTTGACAGCTCCAAGCAGAGTGCATGCTTGTATTTTTCTTCTCTAAGCAGAGTTCTGTGTACGATTCTTAGTGGGACCTTCAGATCTAGACACTGTCAAGAACCAACTACTGTACAATGATTTTATTTAGTCTTACAGTTTAACCTTTGTGTCGTAGCTACTGTAGCCTGCTTAGCTTACCTAAGCCTTCTCTCTGCTTCAGGACTCTGTGTATTGTGTGCTTGAGTTTGTTAGTGTGTGTTAGTGTGTGTGTACGTGTGTTCCTGTGCCTTTCCTTCTATAATGTTGGTCCCACTTGAGAATACGACGCCATTTAGGGGGTTTTAGACCCACATGCAGCTGAGAGAGACGCCGGCACAAGCTGGAAAGTGTTACACAGTCACAAATCCACTCGTTCGAAAAAGAAACCCAACACTGTAATGCTCCTAGAAACGACTTTAGTAGCATTCCACAGCATGCACGAGCAGCTCAGTGTGGACATCCAGACACACTTTACCAGCACCATGTAGTCAACAGCACAGATATATCTGACAAAGCGTGTGTCCTCTCTCCTTCTCTCTGGAGGCCAATCTGCAACCATCTCAGGCTGTGCTCCGCTTCTGCTCTTAACTAAAAGTATTTCAGAACTCCAGCGCTGTCTAAGTTGATGTCTACAGTCCAGGAACAAATCAGCTCTGAGCCCAAGCCACAGCATTTCCAAATCGATCTCAAAGGATCACAAGAGGGAAGGGGTCGGGGGATACTTTGGATTCTGATGATATTACTGCCGTCCAGTCCTTTCAGACTGAGTTGCACAGCTGGCAGCAAGGGGGCCAGTGGGTTCTGATTTGATCCTGCGTCTAAAAGGCTGTCTTGTCCACCACCTCTGCTGGCCAAGTGCACAGAGCCACACCCTGGTCTCTCTCAATAAGCTGGTCTGTCAGTCAGTGGCAATGTCGTTTAAGCGTTCGTAAAAAGACGATACATTGTTGTGCAATAAAAAGATGAGCGCATTGGCATACTTATATCTGTGTGTGGACTTTTTATTCATTGCAGTGTGTGTGTGTGTGTGTGTGTGTGTGTGTTTAAGAACATTTACTGTAGCTCCTGGGGTTACAACGGTCGCTGCAAACAAAAACACAAACACACACGTTAGCCTTGTAAATCAGCCAACAACCCCTCCACCCTTGTTCTACCCCACAATAGATGAGATCTCTCTCTCTCCCTCTCTGCAGACAGGGGCTCTGCTGCATCCCTGATGAGATGTCTGAGCCCAGTCTAAGAGCTTTGCACGTGTGTAAATCTGTGTGTGTGTGTGTGTGTGTGTGTGTGTGTGTGTATAGACAGCAGAGAACAGCAGCAAGTGTATTCATTCTTGTACCAAAGAGCGTGTGTGCAAATGAAAGCCCTACATTTGTGTTTGTCTGA